AATTCTGATCTTTGATGTTCTGGGTTACTTAAGTAAGATCTGAAGCCACTAGGACGGCATAGGGGGAAGGGTTTAGTAAGCCACTATGTCGGCAGTGGGTGATACTATTTATTTTCCTACGCAAGGTCTGAAGCCACTATGACGGCATAGGCGGAAGGGCTTTTTAAGCCAGTATGTCGGCACGAGGTGTTATACGTCAGTACTTTCCTTAAGCCAACATGTCGGCATAGGGGGAAGGGTTTCTTTTAAGCCAGTATGTCGGCACCGGGTTGCATTATAAATAAATTATAAGGAAGCTTAAACCTTAAGCCCTGAAGCTCGTTGCGATGCCATGGACCGTGAGCTACCGCAACTATGGCAAAAGCAACCGGAACGATTGCAGCTTGGACTGACTTGGACTGCAGGCTTGCTTGATTGATGGGTTTTTGTTCGGCTCGCTTCTGAATTGTGCTCGGTGCTTGCGTGTGTTCGGGCGCTGAGTTACATACGTCTACATCGATGCGGAGGGCCAGGGCACTTTTACATCCCGGAAGGAGGCGGGCCTCGTTGTTGAATTCGCCTCAGCTGGTAGGTCGCCCTTCGGTTTTGTTCCCGAGGCCAACCAATGGGCGCGGGAATGTGGAGTACGAGAGGCCTTTGGTGTCCAAGCTTTTGCTCAGCCTCTAATGCCGTGGCGCAGGTCCCAGGGGAACTTCGTCAACGAGCCAAGGATCAGGGGGACCTGGGCTTGGTGCTGCCGAGACGGAAGGCGGATGTCAGTCAGCTGGCCGGCGGTGTTGGCTACGACTGCTGAGCTGTGGCAAAGTTGTGTGGAGGCGAACGGAGTGCCCCCCATCGGGCAAAGCTGCGACAACCATCCGAGCCAGGCTCCCTGATGGACACTTCGGAGTACCAGGACGTGCAGTTCTTCAAGGAGTGCACGTTGAAGACCGGAGAGCACACGATGGAACTCTACCCCTTCGCCACCTTGTTCTGGCAAAAGGTTCACTCGGTCTTCTCTGTAAATGACCCGGGCCATGTGCAGAAAGATTGTGTCCGAGCGCTGAAGTTGCAGAGTCGCCTGATGTACGTAGCTGGCTTCAGAGTGGTGCCGTCCACTCTGCTCCTCAGAGGGCTACCCTTGGCGTCCTATGCTGGGCGGGACTTGCAGTCCGACAAAGAGGCGGCGTTCGTGCTGGCAAGCAACCTGGTCCAGCTGGACAACTGGGACAGCCCGGGCATTCTGTTGTTCCAGCTGCTCATGGCTTTGAGTACTGGAATGTGGCTCGGTGCCGAGGCCCTTTCTCGACGCGCGCTCTTCTTCAACGCGATGTGTGGCTACTACCTCATTGTGCTTTGTGTGCAGGGCTGCCGAGATAAGGGAACCCTAACGAAGCCTACAACTTGCGTAGCGCAAACCCTTGACTGACAGGAAGCCTGGCAGAAGAGAGGCGCTGGCTGGCAGTCACAGTTCATGCATCTCATCACCGCCGGCAATCTCCTCTACACGGCGATCCATCTGACAGAGAGGCCAGCTTCTCCATCTAGTTAAAGGAAGCCTCTTACATCGTAAGGCAATCCTAAGCTGCCCTGCCTTTCCGCCCGGCCAAGACGACGGAAGACTCGGGCGAGCACCACTTTGGGCGTCTCAAGAGCAGCCTCCAGAACGTCTCCATGACGCTGAAGCATGCACTGCTAGCGACACAGCGACAGCATTGGCTTCAGCGAAAGCAAGACCCTGAACCATCCAAGGGATGCGGCCCCCAGTGCGTGTGGCCTGGTCTCGCCGATGACGAGGCAAGCGAGCTCTCGAAGCGGGCTCTGATGAAGACCACCTGCTTGTTTCGGTCAGTTGTCGGTGTGCGAATGCCGGCCACACTCGTAGAGGCAGAGCTCCAGCAGTGGTGGGATGATGTTGGCAAGGCACTGCTGTTTCAGTCCCGAGCTGCCCGCGGAGCAAGCCTCCGACGCCTCCGACGAGGAAGCCGACAAGCCGACCGATTCCTCCGACCCCTTGCAGCTCGCCAGTGCAACACTGCAAGGCTTGGCTTTCGAAGCCAAGGTCAAGAAGGACATCGAGTGCCTGCAGCAGGGGGAGGCACCTGCTCCTGAGATGGGTGCTGCTGCGGCGGAGGTGGAGGCATCTACGGCAGCTGCCTCAAGTGCCGTCGACATCGGCGTGGGCGAGAGGGGCCAGTCTCCGAATAAAAAGCCTCGGACAGCAGCCAAGACTTTTGAGACCATTCTGGAAAGAGCCGGCTTTGCAAACTTCGAGCCACCCGAGGGCGACAAAGACAAGATGGCCGTCAAGCGATTGCAGCACATGGCGCCAGACATTGTGAGGCTCGTGTTGACGATCCGGGAAAGCGAAGGATTCTTGTCATCCGTCCAGCTGTCTGGCCAGCGCAAGCCCGGACACAACAAGCACAATGATTTGCAGCGTGAGCTCGCAAAGGCGCAGCAGGCTTACGGCTTGGTGGGCGTGAGGGAGTCTCGAATCTTCGTTGCATGGCGGAGTTCGCCTCTCTGTTTCTACTCTCGTTCGCTGTCGTTGGATTTGGTTCTTAAACTGCCAACGTCATAAGGAGCCACTGCTTGGATGCGATTCAGCCAGTTGGTGGCCTCCAAGGCTGCAGAGCTGGATGCCGAGGACAGCTCCATTGCAGAGCAGATCACCACCTTCAGGTGGACATTCCTTTTTCCTAGTCTGATTGTCTATGTCGTAGGCAACTTTTTATAGTTCTGTCTCTGTAGCCTTACTGCCCTAGACTTTCTCCGCACATCCAGATTACCACGGCTGAGGCCGAGTGTGGCCAGGGATGACTCTGGCCAGCGGCGGTACCAGGTGCTTGGGCTGCGTCTCCACCCAGTGGGCGAGACTCAGCTAGGCCTCGTCGAGCAAGTGTTCCGAGGAAGCATCGGCCGCAAGAAGCGAGCAGCTGCAAAGCCTGCAGAGTCGGTGCTGCCAGCTCGGCAGTGTGTGCGACTTCACATCTTGCTGCTGTCCAAGCTGCTGTCCAGCATCAGTTATCAAGCAACAGCGCTGTCAGATGCATGGATCGTCGATCCGTTTGACGAGGAGGCTCCCTTGCTTTACCAAGTGCCAGCTGAAATCGTGGAGGATGAGTGGCGAGTCCTAGTCCGCCTCAGGCCGAGTGCGGTCGCTGCGGCCTTGAAGATCCAGGGCCTCGCCATCCAGACGGGCAGCGATGATCAGAATCCGGTCTCTGACAAAGTCTGGTTCACGATCGGCAGCTTTCCGCCGACGAAGCTTGGCAAGGACAACGTCGAGCAGTACATGGAGTGCTGCCGTCGGATGTAGGCCGGCCTATGCTTGAGGGCAGTGGTGTGCCGGTCTTCATGACAAAGGTGAAGAAGCCGCCCGCGTGGTCGCAGCTGCTTGCCAGAGTCTTCACTTACTTCGATGTGACGATCAGAGGCAAGAAAGCTGGAGAGAGCAAGGGCCCATCAGTGACGGCAGATGAGTTCTCCAAGGCCGTGTACAGCAAGTTCCAGTACGTTGCCCCTGCTGAGGAGGCCGGCAGATGGATTGAGTTCTTGCACAGTTTTCATTCCGTTGCAGCGCCGGCGCTGCCGAGTGCCTAGTGTGCCGTACAGTGATTGTCCCGCGAATGCGGATGGGCAGGCGACAAAAACATATGAAGCCGCACAGGGAATCGCAGAGAGCGTTAAAACAGTGAGGTCCGATGTTTCAGATTCACTGCTCATTCGCTTGCATTGGCTTGTGCGTCGTTGTGCATCCTGTAGGCCGAAGCATAGCATATCCCTGTCAGTTGCATGTCTAGGGACCCCAGGTAGGGGGGGGGGGGGGGGGGG